AGTTTGATGACCTGCTTCCCGTTTTGATTCTCTGATTATTGTTGTGTCTTGTTGTGATTGTTTTGATGTGCTGTTGTTGCTCTTGTATGTTGCATCTCTTGCTTCTTTATATATCCGAAAATCAGGAATTATATATGTAGTTTTTAGTTCAAAAAAATCATGCATGCTGAATACTATGTATACATATATACAGTAGTGTATTTCTTAGACCTTATATGGTGTTAATGTTTTTTATTTTTTTTTTTGTTTTTGAAATTGTATGGCAATGATATAGGCTAGAATAAAGCTTATCTGAATACATGCAGTTTCCCAATATGTTGGTGTGGGGAAGTGGCTGAAGAACAACAGAATCCGTGGGTTCAGTTTCCATTGATGCATTCAAGTTGCAAGCGCAATTCCAGAGGAGATAGCTTCTTATGGTTTTTCCGTAAAAACATCGAGTAGCATGGTAAAAGATTGATTCATTTTGAAAGAGCTAAAGTTTAAATAAGAACGCTGCTGTTTGCTGCTGCATCAGGCTAGCAGTAGCTTATATGTTGTTTTCTGGCCTGATCATTGATCGCTCGATTTGAAGATTGCATTAGTTAGGGAGTCGCAAGTTGAAAATAGTGATAGATAATCTATCAACAAATATATTATATTTTTGATGTTTCTTTGCACCTTTTTTTTTTCTCCCTGTTGTTGGTGTCTATACTTTGAGCCATTCAATCAATCTAATTTTGTTTCCGTAGGAATTTCATCTTCTAAAATTTTTAATCAATGATTATGTGTAGAGATTGCATAATCATATTGCTTGACTTGGAAATTATGGTATCAACATCACATTTCATACTATTTTTATTCGATGAATAAACGGCTACAGGATGATGGCTATTGCTAAACTGTATTGACATTGGACAAGTATTTTTGTCCCACAAACACACACAAGTATTTTCCTTTCGATTTTCTTAGGATAATTTGTAATATTCATTTTTTTAAAACAAAACAATTTGGACAATATTCTAATATTTTTTCCAAAAAAAATAAAAAACAATTACTTCGCTTTTTTCCAGAAACTATTAAGTTTGTTATGAAACGTGTAGTTGAAATTAACTATAACATTCTCAAATACAAAAATCGTAATAAAAAATCAACCGAAACATGAGTCGTGCAACACACGACACATATAAGACTAGTTTTAGGAAGGAGGCTATTACCTGAATTCTTAAATTAGTACAGATCATTGACAAGAAACCCAATCCTATTACGTTACAGCCGTAGTTATATTATAGATGGTGAGTTGTCTAACCAAAGTAGACCTCTAGGATGCCAAAGATGCAAGTGAATCTTCGGCAAAATTCTACTCATGATAAATATTCTCTAGCTTCATAGCTCATGTCCTTGCTAACAACTCCCCAGTAATCTTTACGAGACCTCCGTTTATGTCAATCGCTTCATCATCCCCTTAATCATTTTAACAACGCTAAGAGCCTGTTTGATAAAAATTAATATTAAATTCTAAATACTTAATATTATATTAGAATTGTTGAATTCATTAAGTAGTTACGGAATAAACAGTAAGCTAATTTTTATTATTTATATTTTTTCCCAGAATTTCAATACCACTTGATTTATTAAGATGTTCTTTTTTTGTTACATACTTAATTTAATAATTTCAAACATTAAATAACTTTACCAAACGAATTCTAAAATTGTCTACCTCTGCAGTAATCTCAAATAAACTCCCAATGCAAGCTGTAACTCTTGGAAAACTGCTTTATAGTTCAGTTCCCGTAAAGCAAAACATTTTTATTTATATCATTTTCTTTAATTCAAATGCAAAAATCCAACGACTCAAACTCTCAAAGTAAAGATTGCCTATTTTATTGAAGTCTTTGGTTGCTAGGAAGAGGAAGGGTGGAAAGTTAGGGAATGGATCAATGAAATCTTTATAATTATCAATTTTGGTTGTATTTTCTCATGACAACAGAACAGATCGATGCTAAAATCTATTGAAAGAAAAAAAAAAGTTTATTTTCATTTTAAAAAATATTACAAAGAATCTTCTGGACACTTAGAGCTGAAAAAAAAAAAACAAACAAAAAACAAAAACTCTGGAATCCGTAGCCACTCCAAAAAGTTACATTTGTCTACTACTTGCATTTTAAATTGTTAACTCAATCCAAGGGTCTCTGCCTCCTCTTGACTATTGTTCCCCTCTAAATAATGTTGACTAATTAATTATACCCATGTTTCAAAAATAATAATAATAATAATTATTATATCCACAAAAAGAGTATAATAAGCAAATATCTCATTTTATTACCAACTGCCAGAAATAATACGTGATAACTGCACAATGAGTATTCTCCCCCCCCCTCCCCGCCCGTAAACTCCCTTTAATAATACAGCATTGTTTTTTTGATTAGTTAAAAGAAAAACATTATTAATATTTTTTTCTCGATAAGAATTCAACATTCAGAACATTCTACATTATCAGCACTATAATTAGTGACACCATTACTTTAAAAGCCCTTTACTCAACTTCATACCCTTTCTTGCAAATTCTATTTTTATTTCAAATAAACAATATTCAATTCCAAGCTATGATGTCATATAAACTTTTAAAGTAATCAAATACATAAAATAATGTTTGAATAGCGGTTAAAGTCATATTTGGGAAGAGAATTTGTCACCTCCTACAAATTATTTTAAATTATTCATAAGCACTTATTGTACTAAAATAGTTAGACAAATAAAACTCTCATTTTTGGATGGAAAGAATATAACACGATCTCTCCAATTGCGGCATTGCTCACAGCCAGCAGTTGCCAAATTTTAAGGGACTTAAAAAAAAGGGACATCTGGTTGCAAATCAATATGTTTACATCGCTGGTCTTTCTATACTACATTACTCCCGGCTCCACTATGTTCTATGGTATATTTTCATGCTCTCTGACTAAATATATCTAGGGGCAAAACAAATGTACAACAGTGTGTCTAACTACGCTCTGTTCGGAAAATAAAACTATTGTTTATCGTACTAAACTAGTTAGACAAATAAAACTCTTACTTTTGAATGGAAGGAATATAACACGATCTTATCTTGGCTATTGCTCACACCCTCCAATTGCGGCATTGCTCACAGCTAGCAGTTGCCAAATTTATGCACATCGAAAGCAACAGCTAGCGCCTAGTGGTAGCCGCATAGACATTCATTCCATATCCAACAGCCATCTCTCTTTTAGTCCTCCCAAAAAGGGAGAAGATGAGCAGTAGTTTGTATGCTCAGGCAAACTATGCAATTAGGTTGCCATCCAGGACTGCACCTCTTAATTTCTGAATGACCATCAGCCTGAATGCCTTTTAGACTTTCTCCGCTTCCCCAGAAGTTTTAGCATGTTGTCAGTGACATCGGGCGGGGAGTTATCATCTTCATCATGATTCTTATCAGAGGTTTGCGTCAACCAGGCCAATGCCTCTACAGCAGCATCTTTCTCCGCAAGAGCTTTGTTTCTCTTTGGCTTCCCTACAAACTGCATTCCCTTGAACTCTACTAGTCCCCTGAATTCATTTGTCTTGAGATGCTTGGTTTTATACTTTGGGGGAGAGTGACCAGCCCTCATCAATAATGTTTGCAATAAATTCTTCGGATTCATACCATCTCTTGTGAACCTATCATTATCATTAGAAGATTTAATCCTCTTACTTTCACGACCGAAAACGAATCTCCCCTCTGACTGATCACCTGACACTAATTCTTGAACAGCAAGCATGAGGTACTTCCCTTCTTTGTGAATATCAAGACTAGGATCTTGAAGCTGCATTATCCAAAAAAAGAAAAGAGCAAAAGACAAACTTCAGTGGAAAGCAAAGGATATTCTAGACTTCAACAACATAAAAGTAACCATGACTGGTAGTGTCGACAAGTGCTGGAAAATATGCTCAATGCTACAGGCGGGAACAAGGTTGATTAAGATGCCTTATCCAGGAATCACATATAAACCAACCATAACACTGTGCAACAACTGAGGAACGTATATGATACATCATTCAGTATCCCTAGAGATTTTACATGTAAAAATCATTGGCCTCACATTGATTCAGCATCTTTTAAAAAAAGCAAAAAGAAGAAAAGTAACTAAATGTTCTACTAAAATCACAGAGCAATCCAGTTGCATGCAGAATCAGCTTCATCGGAATTAAAGTAGATAGTAACATATTTATCAAAATATAGGGGAAAACACAAAAGTGACTATTTAATGGAAATAGGAAAAAATGACCTTTTTTTTCAAAAGCTTTTCAAGCTCCGACTTGAGTTTAATATAGCACTCAGCCAAGCTAGGATCCATAAAGAACTCAATGTATCCCTCCAACATCTTCAAGTGCCCAGCCTGTAATAAAGGATAGAGAGAGATACAGAAAAGTTAATATGCACAAAGATTCAGATAAAAATGGCAGCAGAAAATTAAGATTACCGCTGTTCCACAGTCGAGTGCACCCCCAAACAGGATCAAAATTGAATCAGATACTCCAGTGGAGTCCCGTAAAAAGACCGTATTGACCTTCACTTTCTCTCCAAAAACCAACCACGGATAGGTTATTTTTTGATAGTGAGCATTCACTGAATTCTGAAGAAAAAATGATAATGTCAAACCACAGAAATAACTCCATGACCCCGTCAGTTAAGTCACGCACTTTGGAACTATGAAATGTAATCACTTTCTCCAAGAGAGGGAAGCTATATGATCAGTTATATACTTTTCCCGATATGCAACAGCTTGGACAACATGCATGTCTGTATTCTAAGAGTAGGACCATGCAATATAAGAATATCGCATTGATATGATCAAATGGACCATCAGAGAAAGACCATTATACATCATGGATATTAAAGTTCGTAAAAGCTTTCCCGAGAGGGTCACCATTTAAATAGTTGTAACGACAAAACTCATGATTCATGATGTCATTAATTAAATATATGTAGTTGAGTATTTTATCTATGAATTATGATTCCAAACCTAGCGAAGAGAACACAACCAACATGATCCATGAAGCAATATCGACCTACAAAATTTTTTTCTTTGATCTGAGTAATACAGTTATCTCAGCACATACCGCATAAAGTAAGACCTGGCCATCATCCATCGTCTTGAAAGACATTGATGTCTCCCTGTGCTGTAAATCAATAACATAAACACGAGAATTTAGTCCATTTCATTTGTTAAGACAACAAATGAAAAATAAACATCAAAGAAATTAATAATTTACAACAGCATTCCTTACCACTACTGATGCAACCCCGGGAAATAAGCCAGAGCAGATAACTGCTCGGACCAAAGATTGATTGTGACTTAATTTATTGTTAATTATTCCATCTGCATCCAACAGTCCAGCATCTTTCAAAATAAAGGTAAACTGCTTACGAAGAGAATGGATTGCTTGAAGGGTCTGAGCAGAGAGGAAATTCTTCCAACAGTACTCGTACGCAGATCCTTCTCTTTCTGCATCTTTCCAGCCTTCATAGGCACGAACAAGAGCCATATGGTCACTAAAGTCTTTTGCTGAAAATCTGGATTTAGCTGTTCCTGCCAACTGCAAGTACATATAACATGCGGGACTGAGTGCTTTATATGTTGTTTCATTAGTCTGGTGACTACATAATAAGTATGACAAAATGTTGCAAGCAGTCTTCAAACTGCAAAAAGAGGTAGAATTCAATGTCTAATATACTCACTTCTTTTTTATCTTGAGGCAATAGGAAGGGATCCCTAACACTAAGGCCAGCAACAATTGTCAATACAGGGTCAAAGCAACGAAAGACAGCACCCATTATAAGCATTTTCCCAAGTTTGGGATCCACAGGAAGCACCGATAGAAATTCACCTGTTGAGCAGAAAAGTTCATAATACAATGAGAACAGTATGACATAGAAGGGTTATTGTCCCATAGGAATCAATTTTGGCATAGCAAAATCATACCAAGGTGCGTAAGATTCTCGTTTTCATCTAATGCACCAATCATCTTCAGAAAATCAACAGCATTTTGCACCTGCAGTACATCCATCAGGCAGAAGCAAGAAAATATAGGTCAGCAACCAATGTAATCAAATCCACATAGAAACAGCACACTGTGCCTTACACCATATCCACTAAAAAGAAATAAAAATCATGAGCGGCTTTTTAAGCGCCAGGTTGTGACCCTACATATTCTTGAATTCACCACAGAAATAAGCCAAAGTATTCTCATATAAAGTACAAAAGCTTGTCCTTCAACTGCTGGAAAAATATATTGACATACAACAGAGCAAAGTATGTCCAATGTTTAACACATTCGGAGAGATTATTAAAACTCCATAAAGTTGAACAAATTCTTCGGTTTCTTCAAGATAGCAAGGAATTTCCATTCAGGAAGAGTCCAAGATTGCATTATCATGTAAATGTTTGTGCAAGTTCTTTTTCTCTTGCAACATTCGGTATACCTTTCTTATAATAGAGTCTGTTGCTAAAATTTATGTATGTAACCTAGTACTAGGAACTTGATCTTGAAAATAAACAATGGTTTTCAATTCATTACAACTTAGAAAGACAGACAAAAAAGTTTACAGGCATTTTAAGATATCACTAACAAAAAGTACTTAAAGATAACATAAGCAGTAGCTTACAGCCAAAGGCTCAGGCGGTTGAAGAGCGGATGAGAGGAAGTCCCCGATGCTTTTGACTTGTAAACTTTTAATTTGCAAGCAGAGAGAGTTCAAGGGAGTCCTCAACAATTCAGGAAGTTGGTACTCAGAAAAAGCTTCGAATACACATCGAGGATAGAGGTGATAGCACTCTCCCGGCTGCACACGACCAGCTCTACCCCTTCTCTGAGTTCCAAAGCATAAATTATTTATTCAAATATAAGGAGGAAGGGAGACAGTCCAAAAATCCCAGAAGCTAATAAATTAGTAAAGTTCCATGCAAAGATAATGTTTGAAGAAAATATGAGTGATTATATTTACACAAAATATTGGCTGTTGCTACAACCGAATGATAATACAAAAGAACTGAGTGTATTAAAAGCATTCTAACTTACTTGTCGAGCAGAAGCTTGAGATATCCAAGAAGGTAGTAAACATGGAGTGTTATTTAATGCATCATAGGTCGTTTCCTTGGCTTTGCCACAGTCGACCACAAAAACGACATCATTGATTGTAATACTTGCCTCAGCCATATTGGTTGCAAGTACAATTTTACGAACATTGGGAGGTGGCTTCTCAAATATGAGTCTCTGGTAGTAAAATACAACAAGGTTAATAAATTGGAGGACTAACAAAGAAGATACATACTGATGAGGAAAAACTAACACTGCACAAATTAACAACAACCTAAGAATCGTTTCAAAAAAAAAAAGCCTAAGAAGAATGCAAAGGAAAGAACAACGCACCTGCTCATCGGTAGCCATTGAACCATGACATGTGAGAAGAAGCACCCTATTTGGGTCTCCTAAGAGTGGATGTGCTTTGATTTGATCCCTAAGACAACTGATATCCTCCCAACCGGTCATGAAAACAAGCACAGCACCCTGACGTTCCTTCCGACATATATGGCAGAGAACAGCCTCTATAAGATTGAAACCAATACTTTCAGGCGTCCAGCATGCAAGTGAATCACGTGCCTTGGAGCTATAATTCTCAAAATTTGAATTATTCAGTGCATCCTATCAAAATAAACAATAAGAAAGTCAACGCCTTTTTTCAAAGCAATAAACATCAGGACATAACATTTTTCGTCAACCTGAGGAACTCCCCCCTCCCTCCTCCCTAAAAAGAAAGGAAAAAGAGAGAATACCAACAGAAAGTACATTCTAAAAGCTGGAGCTGACCATTAAAATTAAAGTAAAACTTAAATCACTTGATGACAGAAAAAACAAAATGATGATATACATTGTGTATGACTATTTCCTATTCATAAATTATACTCCCTCCGTCCCATAATTATTGTCCAGTTTTACTAAAATGAAAGATATTATTTTTAGTCAAGCTTAACTATATTTTACCTTAAACAACCGGATATACCCTTACATAAGTAATTGTTTAACCACTAAGATTTTATGGATAATGTTTTTTACTAAGGACAAATGTGTAACTTGATCCATAAAAAGTCAAATTGGACAATAATTTTGGGACAATTTTTTGGGCAAAGTGGACAATAATTATGGGACAGAGGGAGTAATTGCTTCTGACTCTATTCTGGAGTCTGGCCAATGTAGTTGAAAAGCTAACAAAGTCTTAAGCAGTTGAGGTATAATTAATTAAGATACTGGACTCTCAAATCGAAACTGACTTTTACCTACGCCCATCCCCACTTCCTCGGTCTTTCACCCCCAATATGAGGAATTTTGTGAACACAAACATCACAGCTGGAAACAAGAAATGAGTAGAATGCAAACCCCAATTACTTTAACGAACTAGCAATATTCACATAATGCAATAGATTCTAAAATCCATGGAACTAAAGCATGACATATGGTGTCAAAGCCAGAGAAGACAGAGTTGAGGCTTATAAGTTGTTAGCATTGGTAAAAACCTCATAGTATCACTATTGTTGCCATCACATTATTATGGAGTCGGGACAATGGAGTTCATCAGTTAACAAATTGTTTTTTAAAGAAACTTTTGGTGGAAAATCAATTTCACCAACCCCTATCCCCACTCCCCTCAATATTAGAAGTAGGCGAACAAAACTGGAAACAAAAAGTTTACAGCAGGAGGCTAATTAGTTTAAGACTAGCAACAACCCACTGCAACGGATTCTAAAATTTATAGTGGGGAAAGTAAGACATTTACATAATCATAAAGCGCCTATTACTAAAATTAGAGTAAACAAAACCACAAGATTGGGCATAAGAAGTACATGAGTACTCAACTGCCCATCCCTCTAATTCCTTCAATGAGAAGATTGAGAAAATTTTTGAGTTACATGGAGCAACAAGAAATCAAAGATAGGAATACATGCCTACCATCGCCCTGACGTGCAATTATCAACAATAAAAAAAATGTGAAAATTTAACTTTTAGAACAAAAACAAAAAATAAAAACAAAATTATAAGATAACCGCCACGAGTCCAAAAATTTTTCTCAAATGCAACTTAAAAGTACTCAAGTTCCCTAGTACAGATCAGAGTCATAAACATCCCCGTGGGCAGAGGGAAAATATTATGTATCAACACCCCCTTAAGAGCAGGTAGTGCTAGTACAAAATCTGAAAAGCTGTATGCCTGAATCCATGACTCAGAAAGATATGCTGTAGAGCTATAATATCCAGATAAGGGCAAAAAATGATCAGCATATTCATCAAAAGACCCCATGCAGACTAACTCACCTGATGGCTATGGAAAAAAGATTCTATGGTTAAGGTAAAACTAAGGAAGGAATAAAAGCAGGGGGATTCTGTCCAGATCAGACAAACATAAATCACAAATGATAAAATAATTTTACAAGATGATTAGGAGTAAAACCGATAGATGAGGAACAAAGGAATAAAGTGCTGGTGATTATTCTTATCACACAGCAGCATAATACCTCAACAAGAGCAGTAATCTGATTCTTTTTTTTCCGTGGTGCTAATTGTTTTTGTGTCTTCCATACTTTCTCTTGGCCATAATCATCAATTTGGTTGAACGAAGTCAACTTGTATCCCGTCATTTCCAGCACATCTTCAAGAAAGTGAGCTCTTACAGGATAAGTAAAACCCTGCACTCATTGACAAGAAACTTAATCATAACACATTACTGCAAGTTCTATGTACATCACTCAGAAGCACAGAGTTGATGGTTTAAACATCTAACTAATTTCGGATAGACAAGCTTCATAAAGTTTCTCAAGCTAAATAAAGAAAGTCCCCATACAAGTGGATTAAATCAATGAAACCCACAACAATCAAAGAGCAGAGACTATGGGTAACTTTTAGGGCATGCTTTTCAAGTACCATTTTCCCCCAATATAACCTACTTCAGTTTTAGGGCATGCTTTTCAAGTACCATTTTCCCCCAATATAACCTACTTCAGCTAACAAAATGACATACTACTTGATGAAATCTAAGACATCCACAAATAAAAAATAGAGACTATGGGTAACTTTTAGGGCATGCTTTTCAAGTACCATTCTCACCCAATATAACCTACTTCAGCTAACAAAATGACATATAATCAACTTTAAATTTTGGATGTGCAGTATCACGAAGAAATCAAAATACTACTTCTTAAGAACTAAGATTCGGGGCCCCAAATATAAACCAATATCAATGACACTTTTAAATACAGAAGGTTATCAAGGAAATACTATTACGTACAAAATCTCATCAACTCTTAGCTTACCGGAATGTGAATTATTGGTGCACCTCCAAAATAACTGGAAAAAAGATCAGCATTCAGAGTAGCACTCATCAAAACCAATCTTAAGTCTGGGCGTCGTAGAAGAAGCTCCTTCAGTACAATCAACAAGAAGTCTAGAGACAGCAAAAAGGAAGGAGAACATAAGGTTTCTGATGATTCTCCAAAAAAAGAACAAAAGATAAGCCGAAAAAATTAGGCACCTTCATTCATGCCACGCTCGTGAATTTCATCCACAAAGACGTGAGTAATGCCACTCAGATTATGGTCACTCAAGAGACGACGGAGTAAAATACCACTTGTGCAGAAAAGTAGATGTGTATTTTTACCCTTCATTCCCTCTAATCGTACTTTAAAGCCAACCTGCGAAAAAGTTGCTATTGAAGCATCTGTTTCAGAAAGTACAAAACTTCGACTGGAGTAATAGATAAACAAATAAAGGCGGGAAGCCTACTGATTCTCCAAGAGGTTCTCCTCTCTCTGTAGACACTCTCTCTGAAACCGCCATAGCAGATATTCGGCGTGGCTGTGTACAGATGATGCTACAAAATGCTCCACGGCCAGATTCTATTTCTGACTCTAAGATGTATTGAGGAAGCTGGGTGGTCTTTCCACATCCAGTTTCTCCAGAAATCACAACCACCTGAGGAGATGAGATAAATGAAATCATATCCTACACGATTCATGGAAATTTCAGAAAAGAAAGATGCAAGAGAAAAACAGCCAAATGTACCAGCTTTGAGCTCAAGATCACTTCATCCTTGTATTTAAAATTACATGAAATATTGGCTAAATGCTGAAATCACATTCATCAATTGAAGTCATTCCATGGATATAATCAATCACTAATTTTCTTCCCCTGAATGCTATCAAAACTTACATTTCGACGACGCCACAACAGTATGTGAAAGTTTTGAACCTTCTCCATTAAGAGTGGTCCGAACTGCTCGATAAACTTTTTTTAACCAGTTCCTTATAAACAAACTTACATCATCAGAATGCATCTAAACAGATGATAATCATTTAAATGGCATGTTGTACAAGCAAAAATATCATGAATCATTTTCCAGTCAGCAAACAAAAGTTCCTTTCCACCCAACGCATAGGGCTGCACACCGAGAAACAACAAGTTACAGGGCAAACCTGATTATTAGCAATAGATTTAAGTATCCTTTCCTTTTCCCTGAATGCAGGAAGAGATTTACGGAAATCTAGCATCTTTCTGCCTTCTGGTGATTCCTGCACAGAATAGACAATACTTTAAAATACAAAGAAGAGAAATATCAGATATTTAGTGTCAACACATGATATGATATATATATCCAGTGTGGGAGACACTCAAAAAGAAAGAAAAAGGTTGTTGTCTCCAATTATAAATGACAGCCACCGTTCATATTCAATAGGCAGAAGCTGGACTAGTTATCATTAGGATTTACACAGTTATGATTCAAAGCAAACCCAAGAATGAATAGTCTTCAACTGAACAAGAAGGACTAATCTCAGTAATAAAGTTTCTTTATTAAGAAGGAAAATGCACATAACCTTCTCACTGGCACAGACACAAAATCCATTCTTTTCATGGATAGCATATATTAAGAAATGATCAAAACAGATCTGTGAACATTACAGAGGTTTGGCAAAGAAAATGCACGTAAGTTTACTGGATGACCATTAGAGTAAGCTCATAACCTAACAAAAGCTTCTTTTTTTTTTTTTTTTTTGAATGAAACCTAACAGAAGCTTCGATTTCATTTTCATTATCATCAATGGCAGTTCTAGTTGCTTACAATCAAATAAATAGAGGAGCTCGGATAATATCAAACACCTGCCAAGCCCTCTGCATATTGCGCATGCGTAAGCTCCGTCTCTGGAGAACTTTCTCCATAACAGATCCATCAAGAAAGGAATCTGGATTTTCATCAGGATTGACATCTTCAATTTGGTTAGTGGATTTACTTTCACCTGAAGCCTCAATGCACAATGCAGAACTTAGCTGCTCTCGATCAAGATGTTCCTGAAGTAAAGCTTCTACTCTTCTTTGCAAACCTAATGGAATGACTACCTGCAATGCAAATTATCAGGATTCCAACAATTCATCAACTAAGGGGCCATTATTCAGAATATCAACCATAATTTTCTTTTACCTCTCTCTGAGGTCTTTTATCGTCAAGATCTGGCCGGTAGTTTGGTAGAGGAACCTTGCTTGCAACTACAGCTTTTCCAAATACTTGACTGTAAGTTACCATGAAGGAAAAACACAAGTAAAGATAATGCATATACGTATATATTATTTATCAAAAGCACACAAGTGGAAAAAGTAAACTTTAATTTCAAAAAAAAAAAAATAAAGAAAAGCATATGTTCAAAAAATTCATACCAATAAAGCCCCATCCGTTTAGCCAGATTCGATATCTGCTCAAAATCTCGTCTGTCCCTTTTATCCCGAGATACAATTTCCTGATCCTTTTCATTTCGTAACAGCATATCAAGCTTCCATTTCCACTCATCAACATTGGCCACCGATGATGATGCCTATCAAAAGAACAATTTTGCGTAACTATTAAGGGTCCCTAGTAGGTAAATCGCTTCTACAACCAAACAAAAGCACGAAAAGAAACAGCGGAAGAAAAAAAGAAGGGGGAAAAAATAAATAAATAAAGTAGGGAGGAGCGGGAGATTGGCCGGGATCCTATAGAAAGCAAGATATATAAGCGCTGCAGTGAAATTGTTAATCTGTTCTCAATAACCAAATGACAATACCAACAAAATCTGAACAAGCTAAAAACCAATTCCCAGTTAAAACAAACAAAAATGTAGCTTTTCACTTCAACTGTTAAAGCACTAATAAGTTAAACTATGTGCACATTTTTTCTTATTCAACTAGGATCAAAGACTAACTATAAACCTTTATAGCAGATTAAGCTTGGAACCCATATTGCAGAATATAAATTTTAAAGGCAACATCATTAGTGCATATGAATCTCTTCTGACAGGATATACAAAATTTCTGATAGTATTTCATGAAATTGAACACCAGTCTATGACACTTAAGTATGAATTTACACAATAATTCCAACTCATTGCTAATGTTTAAACAAGCATTTTTTACAACTCACAAAACGCTGAAACTAAATCACATAAAAAAGAATGAATAACGAAACAGTGCCAATGGTAGGAAGCAACCAACAACACTACCACAGAATTAACGAACTCTTTTTCCATCCACTATACGTATCTGCATTTTTCATACCAACTGACACAGATAATTAATTAACAAAAGGGGAAAAAAAAAAGATAGCAGAGAAAGAAATACCGGGTGACTGTCATAATCGCACTCGTACTCATCATCGGAGAACTGTTCAACGGCGTAGCCAGAATAGCTCCGGCTTCTAAACCCAGAAATGAAATTGAACAAAAACACGGGTGGAGGAAGAATACTCGGAATTCGTCTACTTGATGGTTCAGTGGGAACTGGTGCTACCGTTGAGGAAGAGATAGCAGAATGGAACTGAAACGATGATGATGGTGGTGAAGGTTTGAATTTGGGGTTCCTTGAATATGCTAAGATAAAACGAAGCCGTGAATGCATTCTAAGAAGGCGAGAATCAGAGGAGGAGGATGCAGCAGAGGGTTCACTGGCATGGCGGTTTGTTTCTTCCTCTTGGTGGAATCAGAGACTGAGGAACGCGATGGAGCAAAAACTCTGGCCCATACTTATAATTTTCTTTTTGAATTGGAACCTCTTCTGTTGGTTTTAGAGGAAAAAGAAAAAAAAAAAAAAAAACACTAAAATCTCAAGTGATACTATTTTACATTAGGCCAAATGCATAGTTTAGAGCATCTGCAGCTTTGCACTATTTGCTGCACATTAAATAATCAAATTTGCTGTTTTATTACCTGTTACATGTTATCTTCTTCAACTCACAAGACTAATTTTTACATCAAAATGGAATATTTCTTATATATTCTTTTTTGCTATCATTCTTTTCTAATTTACATATATTGGAATCACATATCTATTTAATATGAAAATAATTATTTTACTATTAATTGAGTAGTAAATTATAATATTTATGTTAATCGATTAATAACTAAAAATAAAATTCATATATTATCGCAAATGAAAAAAATACATTATCAAATTAAACGAATGCAAAATAAATATTACATTCCAACAACATCAATAGGATTTTTCATATAATAATTCACTAATCCTCCTCCAATCCACCAGTTTGTTCCCATAAATGATCTGTCAAGGCATTTCTCAATTTAAAATGAGCATCTCGGTCCCTAATTTTTCTGTACCGAGCAATGAATTGTTGGAACCGTTCATGCTCATTTGATACCCATTCTACTGTTGGCTGTGGTGTTTCTCGTTCAACTATCATTGGTCCATTGAGATCATTCTCATCCTCCACAATCATATTGTGCATGATAATACAAGCTATCATAATATCATGCAATACTTCTTTGTTCCAAAAACGAGCGGATCCTTTTATAATTTTAAACCTTGATTGCAAAGCTCCAAAGGCACGTTCCACATCTTTTCTACAAGCCTCATGCTTGGTTTTAAAATACTTGTGTTTTCGGAGTTTAGGATTTTGGATTGACTGCACTATCGTGGCCCATTTCAGGTAAATATCATCAGCTAATATCCCATATTATATTCTTCTCCTTTAAGAACATAATCAGCCGGAGGTGCAATACCTTGAGTAATATTATAAAATAAATGTGATGATTTCAAAACATTAATATCATTATTTGTAGCTGGCATACCAAAATAAGCATGTCATATCCAACGGTTATAATCAGCTATAGCCTCAAGAATGATTGTTGGTTTACCAGAACGTTATTGTTCCGCCCAACCATAGGGGCATTTTTTCCACTCCTAATGCCGGCAATCTAGACTTCCCAATATGCCAGGAAAATTACGTTGTTCACCAATATATAGTAGTCTAGCAATGTCATCTGCAGTTGGTGATCTAAGTTGCCGTTCTGCAAAAATCTCAACAATTCCACGACAAAAATTTTTACAACAAGCAATAGCAGTTGACACACCCATTTGAAGATACTCGTCTAAACCATCTGCAGAATTGTCATATGCTATCATTCGGATGGCAGCAGTTGCTTTCTGTAGGGGTGAAAACCCCAATCTACTAGAAGCATCCCTTCATTGCTCGAAAGATTGATCGTGATTTTTAAGAGCATCCATAATACAGAGGAATAAATTTCGAGGCATACGAAAACATCGTCGAAATTGTCGGTCAGTGTATCGTAGATTTTCAGAGAAATAATCACCAACCAATCGCAAATGTGCACCCTCATGGTCGCGGTTGATCACGATTCGTCCCGAAGTTGACCCGCCTCGAGCAACCTGGTTCTGTTGACGATTGAACTGCAAATTCATTGCTATTGCATTTCTCCGCATAACATGACATATGATTGATAGACGTTGTTGTTGTAGTTGAACTAACACTTCATCATCACTCGACGATGATTATGATGACGATTGATGGTCTTCAATATTTGAAGAACCTTCCTCGTAATAGCTCATTGTTTTGTCTTACAAAAGAGAGGAAAAAAATTATCAATGGATTAAGGAAAAGAAACTTTGATGCTTGATACGTTTTATTGGGATGTTATTTATAGAGATTTTTTTTAAGCGATTGAGATAAAGAAAAATCCATTTAACGGTTAAGATAAAATTAAAATCTTATCCAACGGTATATATAATGATAAAGAAATCATATACTATCCATGTATTTTTGTTCCCTTGTGAATGCACGTCTAAAACTTAGAGCAAATGGACAAAGCCATCATTGTCAATGTGAAGACAAAAAAAAATTCTTAGAAAATTTGCAACAAAAGAACAATAGATTTTATATAAGCTACGGATGCAATGTATTGGTAGAAATAATTTTGACAAATATGTCTATCTAAATTTGTGTGCCAAAGCTGAAAAAACAGCAACTTTTTTCAAAAAAAAGATATCAAATTGATGGCATTTTTTTGCTACATGACAAAGAAAAAAGACAAAAGCAACAATTTGTGAAAGAATACATTTTTGCACATTTAAATTTGTCTGCCAAGAATTAATAAAACAGCATGGCCAAAAAAAAAAGAGATAAAAAATAAAAGATTAGGTTATCCACTTGTGGATAAAAAAATTTAAATAGACGGTTCACATGGTAAAGAAATCTAATGAAGGGTGGAGATGGTAATAATGAATAGTACATTATCTGATTTACTGATCAACTTATTTCGTGACTTTTTCTATAAATAGCTACATAGCAAACCTTTATTGAATTCTTTTTCTGAATCAATATTTTCTCTTTTGGCAAAAAAAAAAAAAACAAAATTTTCAATGTCTAAATTTGTCTTCCGAACTAGTGGATACATTATCGCTGAAGACAAAGCCCTCGTTGAGGCTTACATTGATGTTACACAAATCCAAGTATTGAAAGGTATCAATCATTTGATGATTTTTGGAATAGAGTTTTGGAGGAATACAATAAAGAAGCAAATCCCAAAAGGTGGGCTCAACACAATGGAAATCTTTGATGCAAAGATGGTAGAAAATAGAGAAAGCCGTTAAGACATTACGTGAATTGTATAAACAAGTGGAGGATATGCATCCTAGTGGTGCAAATGCAAAAGATTATGTAAGTAACTAAATATTTATTTGTGTTTTATTTATAATTTTATATATCTTTTATCAATGGGTTAACAATTGTATAAATATTATTTCAGCTAGATTGTGCCAAACAGTTATTTGTACTTGAGAAAGGATTTGAAAAAGGGTTTAAATACGATCACGTCTGGAATTTGCTCAAAGATTTTACAAAATATAACGATAGTGTCACGCAAGCACGAAACCTATTCAACCAAACCTCTAGTTTTATATCATCTGAATCTCATAATCCAACACCGGAAACCCAGGTACCTGAGTCTCCTATCCTGTCTAACTTTGATTCTCAAATGGTGATTGAAAGTAATACTAGCGGATCTTCTTCCAAAAGAACTATTGGTGTAAAAAAGGCTAAAAATAAGAGAAAAATAGATGAACAGTCTACTCGTGAGATGGAAATGTATAGAGAAGAGAATCAACAACTTCTTGATGTTTTAAAAAAGACAAGTGAAGACCAAACAGAGTTAATAGCACTACAGAAACAAAAGTTGGCTTTGAAGCAATTGAGGGAAGAAAACAGAATTATGACACCAGATGTGACCAAAATTATTGATCCTATTTATCGTGCTTTTATTATTGGTGAAAGAGAACGAGTTCTTCAACAACGATTGGCGCAAATGCAACCACCACCAAATACTACTTTCAGCGATCTATTCAACAATGGCGAAGATGCAACTAATCTCGGGGATGATTTTCCGTAGTTTATTCGTCTTTATTAATTAAGCATTTTATTTATTTTCTTAATAAGTGTGCTTACGTATGTTATGGTTAGTTGAATGTTGTTTTACTTTTCGATAATTTGGTTATTCTAAAATTGATGTATTTTTGTTTTATTTGCTTTAATGTTATTTGATTACAAGAATTTTTTTATTCTAATATCACATCATTTATTATTTACTTATAATAATTTAATAATAATTAGAGCTCTTGAATAATACAATAAATTTAATTAAGATTATTCATTAAGTTTCTACAATTTCAAGTTCATCAATAATGACCAAAAAAAATATAATTGTAGGGGCTTAAAAATCAATTTAAAAGTAACAAGGGGGGAGGAGGGAGGGGGAGAACGTGCGTTTGCTGCTGCTACAGTAGCGCAGCAAATTAGGCGCGCTACTGTAGCAGCTGCAGCATTTTGCTGCTTGGATTTGCTGATTTGGTGCGCTGTTGGAGGCCCCTTTCAGCAAAAAGGTACACGTTGCAGATGCTCTTACTCTCCTACATTAACATGTTCTCTTAAATTTTTGTTGGTAACTTTTTTGGACCTTTGGCACTATATTAGGAGTTATATCATATTTGAGTTCAATTCAACAGGAGTATTTTTAGAAAAAATATTTATTTTTCAAACAAATGAATATATAATTGAAATTGCATAAATAATAAAATAATATTTTATATAATAAAAATATCCCTATTGACTGGAACCCAAATATGGTCAAACTGTTATAATACTAAAGGGTGCCCTTATTGTCAAAACAACTTTTAGGGCCAAAACAAATTTAATGTTATCTACCTAATATACCCCTAGTAAAGTCAAACACTATCTGTTCTCTCTCCATTTTCCCCTTCTCCCCATTCACGACGGAATATGGAATTCAATGCCTTCAAAATTTCAGTGTTGAGTTTGTGCAGGTTTACTTGCACCCGTTAGGAGGCTTTTCGAGTACCAGATCGAGGCGTGTGCATGTGGAGTCTCCCCCTTAGTAGTACAATCCCCTTCCCCATAAACCCCACCTACATGTAATAGACTAGGTATTTATATTTGTGTGTAAAAAAAATGCCTTCAAAATTTTTCTATTTTTTCTTAAAATACATCGTGTCAAATTTCCTAGAACACATCATCTATTTTTTTTTCCTCTCATATTCTCAACTTTGAGGAAATTAATAAAGATGACAGAAAA